TAAAATTTTTCACCGGGTCTGATGTGCATGGCAATTTTGGTGAGTTTTCGAGTATGTTTAGGGCCTCAAAAACGCGTGTATTTGGCACGAATGATAATAATAATCCGAGCAGTTGCAATAGGGTCTTCGCACCCTTTGGTGCTCGGACCCTAAAAATAAAAAACCGAACTGTCCTGGACAAATTAGAGCACTTTGCTGATGAGCAGTGGGCCAAAATCAAAATAGCTGTCAACCGGAGCAGAAGTCTGAGAGTTACAGAAAACACTTGATTACAGTGATTGGCTCAAAGGGTTGCTCAACAAAATATTAGTTTACGGGTCCCATCATGCTTGTTTGGTTGTTTTTTGTTTTAATATTTCTGTTGAGCCACAATTCAAAAGCAATGTCATGATTTTCATTACATTTTGTTTATTATTAATTTGTCAATTTCAACTTATTACAGTGTCAGCTGCTTTTTTTTCTTCTTTAATGGGAGGGTGTGAATACATCTGAGGACGACTGTATCAATGATGGTTTCAACTTATTTTCTTGAATGAAAAATATGTACAAGTGGTGTCGACTATATGAAAGGTGGACGTCATGCATCCAAAGTTGAAGTACACAGCTTCTCAGACTGTATTTCAGTCCCTTGTAAATGCTCACTGCTGAACAATCAGGATCAATGACACGTTATATTAAAGAAATAGTTTTTATTTCTAAATCTCTCAATCTGAAAGAATATGTACATGTTTGATTGAAAGAGAGGCATTTTAAAAATAAATACACAAACTAAAATTAGAAATCCTAAGAAAAAAAAATCTATGAATTCTTTCCATATCTTTTCATGATCCAGTTCAATGCCCAAGTTCATAAGGACTGATGGTTTCCACAGATGCTCCCTATGAAGACAATTCATTTGAAAACTGTGATCACTGCATACAGAGGATGACAAAACAAAATCAAAACAACACTTCTGTCTTTTCTGATATCAACAGTCAGTTTATCCATCCTTTGGTCATTTTTACTGGATAATTTATTGTTAGAAACAAAATCTGTGTTTCATTTTGGCTTACCCACTGCTGGAAGTGTAATGTAAGCTAAAACAGGTGAAGGCTTCTGACAGATAGGATCTGTGTAATTACAGACTCTACATAAGGCACCATTCCAGCAATACTATCATGTAATGAACATATAATCAGATATTTCTTTCTAAACAGTGGGAGGTGTCGGTATCATCCAAATGTTAATGTATCACAATCTGTGATAAAGGCATAAATCAAACTGTAATTAAAGTGGGGAGAACACAAAGTGCAGAAGACAATGGCTCTGGGTAACATGGTTGCTGCGGTGTACAGTCTGTGAAAGAGCCCACGGCGTGGCTTTTGCCTACAGTTTGCAGGTGGCCTGTGCCACTTTGGAGCTGGTCTTTCTGTTGATGGTTCGGCAGATGAAAGCTCCAGCATCCATCAGCTTTGTGAGGTCCACTCCCTATGGAGAGGAGAGAGCGTTAAAAGGTCAAATCTGAGCATTTTAATTCAAATTGTGCACAATAACTTGTTAGTTGTGGCGGGTTCTGCATTTTTTTCAAAGAAAAGGAAAAAATTCACAACAAATAATAAACTGGCAAGGATGATAAGTTTTGGCATTACTTAGCTTTACAGTTTGATAATTTAGTCATCGATCAATAGATACACCAACATCCGGATCCACAATTTAGCACTTATTATTTTGGAATTTCTGCCTTCTGCAAGGACTGATGCATTAAATCCACGGAGGGGCAGTTTCTCATAAACAAATTCAAAGTATTTTTATTTATTTTTTCCTAAACAGACGTACCTACATTGGTCAATACATCAGTGCAGCATCTTTACAAAGATAAACTCTGGTTTCTTACTGTTTGAATGCCAAGTCCATGCAGCATATAAACTACATCTTCAGTTGCAACGTTCCCAGAAGCCCCCTGTGCATAGGGACAGCCGCCCAGACCAGCTACCGATGAGTCCACTACACTGATTCCCATCTGAAAAACACAGAAAATCATCACTGTGAAACAACGGAGGCCAATGACGCTCTAAAATCCGACCATCTATGAGATCATCCTATTCTACCCTCTGCATTATTCACAAACATATTCAGTAGCAAATACCCAGAACAAAGCCTGACCTGTAGGGCTACAAGGATGTTGGCCAGAGCCTGACCATAGGTGTCATGGCAGTGCACTGCCAAGGCGCTGACTGGCACCTCTTTGCTCACTGCCTCCAGCATTGCACTCATACTGCCTGGAGTCCCCACTCCGATGGTGTCACCCAGAGAGATCTCATAGCAGCCCATGGAGTACAGACGCTTGGCTACCTGTGAGACAGAAACAAAACATGGGTGGTTATGTTACTGTTGTTTTGTCAAGGAATGATTTTTGTTTATTCAAATAATGTCACATATATGAAATGAGAACTCACATGAGCAACTTTTTCTGGTGCCACCTTGCCTTCATATGGGCATCCGACTACACAAGAGACGTAACTGTGGTGACATTAAACACAGATGAGGCTCTTGCGAGGATTAAACAACAGTTTAACTGATTTAAAGGTTTGCTGACAGCTGAGAGGAAGCCAGTCATCTCACCCTCTAACTGGCACACCAGCCTCTTTAGCTGCTTTCATAACCTCGTCAAAGCGCTGTAAACTCTCATCCACTGAGCAGTTTATGTTCTTCTTACTGAACAGCTCAGACGCAGCACCAAATATGGCTACCTCTGCAGCTCCTGCCTTCACCTGCAGCGAATAAAAACAAGGAAAAGGCACTTTTAGTGACATATGTCCTGCAGTGTAAGATGCTGGATATGCAGTACATTTATGGAGCTGATGGGGAAAACGTGTTAGGACGTGACACTCACAGCAGCCTGGAAACCCTTGAGATTAGGAGTGAGGACTGGATAAGACACTCCAGGTTTCCTAGTGATGCCCTTCATCACCTCCATCTGGTCGGCCATCTGACGTTTGCATACAGAAACCAGTTAAGACAACAAAGTCCATTCATTCCTTCACACTACAGTTTCTGTACTGCCCTGAGAGGGGTGTGTCACCGCTCTCCATATGCATGACTGTGGGGGAACACACTCACCTGTGGAACCCATTTTGGAGACACAAAGCTGGTGGCCTCGATCACTGACAGCCCTGATTCTGACAGCATGTTAATTAGATTAATCTTTGCCTCTGTTGGAACAACAGTCTGAGAGAGGAAACAATAACACAACAAGATGAGGAACACTTACATTGACAGTGCATGACTCACATTGTTTCCTCTGGTTACCAAACACATGAACTATGCACCTGCTCTGCCTCAACAATGATGGATAACTCTGACTCTTACAAACAGCATTAATATTACACTGAGGCACCCATATGTACCCCATATGTATTTACATCAACCATTTACTGTTACCTTCTCATTTTGGAGTCCATCTCTGGGTCCCACCTCCACTATTTTCACCTTTTCCGGAAGAGCTTGACCTGCTCTTACACCAGCCTAAAAACACGCACAAAGGGAACAGAGAAAGTTTAATTAGTAAAAGCTAACAAGTTTGACAGCTAGCCACCTAGCTCGACGGTAGAGGACGCCTGTCAGAGAAACCCTGCCGTGACTGCAGAAGCCGCATTGTGCGACCTGCTGGGGGGTAAAAGGAACCACAACTCACCGCTGAGAGCTTCGCTGCGGAGCTGAACGCCAGGTACTGCTGACCCATCACTGAACCCAAAGAGCTTCTGTTGACCAGCCTAATGACGGCCGCCATGTTGGTCCAGCCTTCGCACTGACGTCACGTCTTCTTCACAGGAGTCGCCCTGGTGACGAACTGAACCGCGCGGGCGCCACCTGCAGGCCGGAAGGAGGTGTCATAATAAAAACCATTATGGAGTCAGGACGTGAAAAAGAACTGAGTTGGAATCGTGACACCTGAATGGGGAGAGCTGAATTTTTAGTGAGGAAAAACTACAATTCACAGTTATTTTTTATACTTTACTGTTATGTTTTATATTTTATATTTATATTTGCATCTTCTATGTTTTTTTTTTTTCATTTTTCTGTGTTTATGTTGCACCAACCCACCAGAACAAATTCCTGGTATTGTGTAAACTATACCTGGCAATAAACCTGATTCTGATTCGGAATTTTACATCAACTTAACTGAATTTCAAAATAATAAACTATGTTTGAAGTTAATTCCAAATTTAGTTTAAACCTAATAAATTCAATTTCAAATTATGTTATTCAAATTAGAATTTTTATTGCAGTTATTCAAGTAAACCAATATCAGTTCTAATTATGTGATTCAAATTTAAGCTTTAGTGACACATATTTTTGATCATATTGGTAATTTAAGAAATGCAATAAGATATGCTTTTATTAATCCCAGAATCCTAACCCAACTACTGTTGATATTCCACAGATTCAAATACACTGATTTGGGGGAATTACTTAATGATTGGCAGCATAAACAAGGTTTTTAAGTTGATTTCTCATAAATGTTAGGTTGTACTAGTAGAACTAGTATGTCTATGTTGTTCTAAAAGAATCAAGTCAATTTCTGTTACATTAATTTACCTCAACTTGAATTTATTTTTAGGTCAAATAATTAAAGAATTTCTGGTTTAAATTGCACACAGTGTTAAATTAAAACAATTGCCAATATTATTATGCCAATGCGACACATTCAAATAGAGTTTGCAACTTAAAAGGTTTATTTAAATCAGGACATCATTGTTCTTATTCTTGTTCTTATTATTTTTAAAATCTTGCAGTAATGCATTTAATTGAGAGGTGGGGATAGGTTTCCTGAATTACTTTTTTTTAGAGAGCATTGGGTCAGTTTGATAGGTTTAAAAGTATTGTGTCTGTGTATCACTATCTGTGTGGTAACATTTTGTAGGAATATATTTAAATGCTTGTATATGTAGAAACATTTTGATCAAATGAAATAAAGTGTCTTACCATATGAATAATATCCGTGCAAATATATGTAATTTTTGAATCTGTAAGGAGATCTGTGCATGACCATGACCTCAAATTGAAGCAGCTAAGTTTTATTTGCAGTCAACATTTTTTATTATTCAGCCTGCCCCTAAGGATGGCACACTAAAATGTTTCCCTAGAAAAAGGCTTGTGTGCGAGTTATGCGTGCCTAAAACAAGACTGGTGCACTAACATGCGTGGCATTACAACGGAGGCCACACCACTTTAGATCAGTTAGAGGAGAAGCAAGTAAAAACCCAAACAGAGATCTCACAGTTAAAATAACAGATACGGCTGTAATCTCAGCACATCATTTTGCTGGTTATGTTGACATTCCTTTGAGAAACTGATTGACTTCTAATGTTGCTGACGGTAATGTCGAGGGAAGTGGTTGTCATTTGTTTTCATTCCAGTGAGAATGAAATGTTTTGGGTCGGCAGTGCCGTTTTAGGAAAAAAAGAAAAGAAAAAAAGACAGTTGTAAGTAGAACAGACACTAAGTAAACATCACTCTGTAAACATTATAGTTAGACACAAGACATATAATTAAAAAAACAAAAGCACTGGGGAATGGGAGATGGGTGATTTAAACATATTGTGCACACACTGTACAACATTTTTAGCTGTAATTAATGAAACTTTTTGGTATAGCTTTGAATAAATTATTATTATTTAGGTTTGATAAAAGTCTAGGTATACAATTTTAAATATACTGTAAAGTTGTGTTACCATTACTAATATGGTGTGCTATAGAGGTTAACAAAACTACTAATTTTCAATTGTGGTGCCAAGGATGGTTGTTAGTGGTTCTGTAGTTTGGCCAGTATACCGTTTTCTCCTGAAGGTGTCGGGGAACTGAGGAACCTGACAGCCTGAGGAAAGACCTGTGCTGACCTGTATGCTACAGAGCCTCTAGTGGGGCAGAAAAAGAACAGAGTTTGTGGGAGGGGAGTTCTTTTATAAATCTGAATCACTAGCTTCACTCCACAGTCGCAATTTTGCTGCTTTATTTGGATCCATCTTTAAGTGTTAATGTCGACATTAAACTACGTGTTACAGATGTTATATTGCCATAGTTTAAATTTAATGAGCCCAAAATTAACTTTATTGCTAGTATTATTATAATAATGGGACCATTGTTGCTCACACAGGCATAATATATATAAAAAAAATATCCATATTTCCCTTAAAGACACTGTAGATCTGATTAACCCTCAAAAATGTTTTAAGAATTCAATGCATTTTTAAAAAAAGTTTAAAGTTTTCTTTTATACGGTATGTTTAAAGAGATTTTATCATACCTGCCCTTTAAACTATTTAATATTTTTATCGCAATAGATGACAAACAAGTTTATTTTGAGTGAGGAGACGGCACCTACAACAGCATTTCCCTATTTATGACAAAGACCCACAAACAAATGTATAAAAATATCTTTAATGTGTCAAAAAAGTAAAAAAAAACCCAAAACAGAACAAAAAACCCTGAATAAATTATATTTTGTGTTTATGTCATAGTGCATATCATAACCAAACATTACCAGCACAGCAACTGTGAAACATTGAAAACAAAAGTCAGCTCCTGAATTTCCATAAAGGGTCTAGCAGAGCCATCAGTCTGTCCTCGTCACCGTGTTTTGCCTAATCGGCATCAGAAAATCCCAAAAAGTAGCAAACAAGTGGTGTTCCTTCATGCACATTAAAAACACTTATGGGTTATCATATAACTATAATCGAAGCAAAGGAAACACTGAGTATGCATGCTTTGGATACTGCATATCTTCATAAACGAAAAGCTTTTCATTTTTGCCACAAAGGTCGACAATCTCATAAAACGTAAAAGGCTAACCAGTTGCATTTAACTAATAGACAACTAATATATCATAAATGTGTATATGTACATCAGTGGATCCCATATTTTATGCATAAACTCTCTTCCATGGCTTTAACACACACACACACACGCACACACACAGTCAATATTTAGGCATGCATCTGCACGCACACACTTTGGTCCCTCCTCACTGCAGCTCCTCGTCGCTGTCGTCCACCTGCTGGATGATGAGGTCGGCCCCCGAGTCCTCAGCCAGGTCGTCGTCATCGGTCACCATCCAGCTCCTCTTGGTGTCGCCCTCCTCCTCGCCGTCCACGCCCAGCAGCAGCGCCGGCTCCTCGTTGGGCCCCTCCATGCCGTCTATGGGGATGTCGTCGCAGCCCACCTCCTGGATGCAGGCGGTGCACATGCGGTAGCGTCGCGTTCCCTCGCACACCACATGACCCGTCTCCTCCGTCACCTGACACTTGCACTTCCTGCACACCAGCTTCCTGGCTTGATGGATCTGTGGAGGCGTGGAAAGCGTGAGCTCAGAAGAAAACGCGGCTGAAATAAATGTGTTTTAAGGCTGGTTTGTTAGGTTTACTGTTTTGGTAGAAACCTCCTCCTGGTTGTCAGTAAACCTACCGTCTCAAAATGGCTGCGGAGATGCTCCAGGCGAGTAAAGCGCTTATTGCAGGCCTGACACGGGTACGGCCTCTCTCCAGTGTGACAGCGCAGGTGACGCTTCAGGTCGGCCTTCCTCTTCACCGTGTGCGTACAAAACGGACATTTGAAGCGCATGATGGGGTTGGAATCTGCAAAGAGGAAGAGAAACTGTCCAGACACTTGGCTTCTCTGGTATACAGAAGTGGCTTTTTGTCAGCACCACTGTGGTTATGATGAAGCATGGCATTTTTTATTCTCACTTCTCTAAAACAAAGAGAACAATTTGTTGACCACTTTGTCACAAATGGCCAAACACACCTTTATTAAAGTGCCCGATGACACCCACAATCGGCGGTAGGGTGGCGTACAGCTCCTCCGCCTTTTCAGCCTTTTGTGTCCTCGCCTCCTGGATGTCCAAGTCATCGTGCTGGTTGGAGCGACTGCTGTTGGGTGCTCTTCTCTTGGTCCCCCCCTTTCCCCGCCGGCGCTCTGATCCAGGCAGGGTGTACAGAGGGTCCTGAGGGTCGTGCAGGTCTTCGGCCTCTGCACTGAGCTCATTAGCAGGGCTGCTTGGATTAGTCTTCAGGGCTGAGGCAGAGGCATCCTGGTCTGGGTCTTTCCCCATAAAGCTAGACTGAGATCTGGAGTTGTCCCTGGTCCAGAGTGCGGGCGGCGGGCTGACAGAACAGGGGCCCTGCTGCTGCTGCTCCGAAGCGTCTTCTCCTGCTCCACTGGTGAAGCTGCAAGTCTCAGACAAGCTGAGGCAGCGCTCGCTCTCTTCATCTTTCACGCTGATGTCCAGGGAGGATTTGATGAAGTTTTTGCAGTAGTTGATGACATTGTTCATCTGCAAGTAGCTGGCCGCCGACATGACCTCGATCACGTTGTGACTGGAGAGATCCAGCTGGCCGGAGTAGATGAAATCCAGGATGACGGTGAAGGTCTCTGGGCTGAAGACGTCGAAGGTGGCGCTGACGGAGTCGGGCAGCCCGTCGGGCCCCTGGGACAGCAGCATGCGGAAGTAGCCGCTGCTGGCGAACAAGACGTTGCGGTGGGCCCTGAAGAGCTGGCCCTCCACCAGCACGCTGCAGTCGCAGAAGAGCTCCTGGCGACGCTGGTGGTTGAGCTGCTTCAGCAGGTTGCTTTGGTGAGACACTGTGATGTCAGCCGTGTTGAACCACCTCTGAGGCTGCCTGCAGGAGACAACATGACAGCACGCTCACTGGCTGTGTGTGCAGCAAACACTGACTTGTTCTGCAAGAAAATAGCAAACCATAGAAGCCTTGTAGACCTTGTGGAGACCCATTAGTTAGACTGAGACACTTCTGCCTCCACAATTCTGAATTTTTAATTTAAAGAACCCCTGTGTATGGACAAGTAATGTGTCATTTTAGACATCAGGGAGGGTAACACTGGCTCCTGAGGTGTAATTCCAAGGTAAATAATTATGCCCTAAATGTTAGCTGCAGGTCACATTACAAACACAGCAGTAACTTCCCATTGATGTAGCTGTCAATTATCTCATCTTTGTCTCTGCACTGGACCATCTCCAGCTGCGCAGACGCCCCACCCACCTGACTTCTTTCTGCATTGTGATTTGCTGGTCGAGCCTTCAATCAAAAATCATCTTCTAATGGGTTACACCCGACTCCAGTCAGAGAGCATCGGGTGACAAAAACCTTTAACCATCCCTGAGGGCTAAAACGCACAAGAAATATCTGCTGAATCCAAAACAGCAGAGCGGTGGGAGGACAGAATAAAACACTGCAGCTGGTCATGCTGTCCGGAGAAAGGGGAAGAAGAAGTAAAAAATTAAAAAAATCTGCCGCAACCTCATTTGCAGAATAATTCTTATTTTACAGTGACCTAATACGGCCGTGCGTGTGCAGCCTCCACGTTTTTTTTTAATTAGCAATGCGCTGATCTGTGACAAGCTCCGCAGCGCCCGATAACCCACGGTGCAACGCCCGCCCGCGACACTCTGTGGTGCTCCTCATGGCACCACGATCCAGAGTGGAGCAACCTCAGCGAGGCTATTTCCCTGTGAATTCACACATCATTCGACCTACTAAAAAAAAAAAAAAAAAGGAACATGAGAGTGCTGCAGTCCTGCGAGAGAAAAGCGGGCAGCGGCGCACCAGAGCAGCCCAGTCTGTCCTGGAGCGACGCCCACTTCAGGCTCCAGCCAGCCAGCCACACAATAGAAAAACAAGACACAAACCTCCAGCAACTGCTGCGAGCTGACAAAAAAATAAATACATTCACATTGTATACGAGTGTGGGCTCCGTGACGCGCTAATACGCCCGTTTTCCTCCTCGCAGACCACCCCCCGACTTCTCGCCGGAGGTCCGGAGCGCAGCGAGCAGCGGGGAGGATTTGCCTGCTTGCCCAAACCGAGCGACTCCTTCCCAGGCGAGAGGTGTCGGCAGGACCCGCTTACGCCCCACTCCGTGATACCACCACCACCCCCCCCTCCACCCCCCTCTCCTAACAAAATCCATCGATACTCACTGGTGGCTTGATTCACCCGGCGCCCGATAGAGTCTACTCGCCCCCAAGTCTGCCACCATATCCATTTTTTCCACCAATTCCTTTCGCCTTTTTTTTTTCTCCCCCTCTGCGCTTTTTTTTTTTCTCTCCCTCGTCCAGGGTCCACAGGCAGACACTTCCTGCTCAGCCCTAAAGACCGAAACCCGGCTAGAGCGACGGAGCTCTGTGCTGACGTGGGTGTTTATTAACTGGGTGCCCGAGGGTTCAAGGAGCCATTTAAAGCCCCAGTGCCCCGTTTAAACACAGTCCGAGCAGCTCTCTCCAAACTGGGTAATATTAAAGGCTGTGTTTCTGCAGGGATTCCGCTCCACTGACCACCACACTGCACAGGTAGATCCTTTAACCTGCAAATGCATTGTTGGAATATTCCTAAAGGGTTTATTTTTTTTAAATTATTTTTTGTAATTTCACCTGTGCTGCTGCTGATTTCCTGCATTATATGTTTCTGATATATTTTAATAATGTGGTCATCCTCCTTTAAAACACTCATCATCAGCTTTTTTTTTTTTTTGGATAAATGCAAAAATGTGTGACAACAACATCTTATAAATGAAGCATCCTGGTGCTAATTATATTCCCTAAGACAGAAGGCAACATGATTGTTTGGTTCAGACTGCAGCCCTCAGAATCATTTGTTTCACTGGATAACAAATACAAAAAAAATACTCATCACACAATAAATATCATGTCGCCCCCCCCCAGTCCTAATTTAAAACAGCAAATACAGGCGTCCCCTTTTTTTTTTAGTAAGAAAATGAATTTATTCTGCCATTGTTTTGGTCTCAGATCAATACATTCACAGAGAAAATAATCCCATTATTAAATCTGAAATAAACGGACAGGCAAAAAAAATATTTTGACATGATTTTTTTTTCAAATGAATTATCTGAAAGTAAGCTGACCATTAGCATAGAGCAATTAGAAAATTAAACAGGACAAAATAAAACAATTTGCAGCTCCTCTTGAGGCGTTCAGGTGAAATGCGAGGAAGCTGATGATCTTTGCTTTGGCGCGGCGATTTAAAAGAGGATTTAAGAACAGCGTCCACGAGCTGGAGTTGCGTCAAGAGGCTGTGCCGTTGGTGAATCCGGTGGGGTTCATGGACTGCCAGCGCCACAGATCCTCACCTGCATGGAAACGGAGGCGAGAAAAAGAGTCAAGATTCAAGAGTTTTATTGTCATATGCACAGCAAAACAGGTAGTTGTACTACACAATGAAATTCTTATTCTGTTCAATCTCCCGGAAAAGACGACACATTAAAATAAATAAAGCGAGCAAATAAGAACAACAATAAACAATTAAAAGCAACAATAAAGTGTTCAGTGTTACGAATGTGTGCGTGTGTTGTGTGCAGTGTGTGTGAGTGAAATATATAGCAATGGGAGATTATAAGGAGGAAAGAGTTCAACAGTTATTTTTTAATCTGGAAAATTGTGCATTGTGGCCCTTACACATTCTTTCCAGGTCGAATTCAGCCTTCCAGCCCAGCTCCTTCTCAGCTAGACGAGGGTCAGCGTAGCAGGATGCGACGTCTCCACCTCTACGAGGGGCAATCTTGTATGTGATCTATGCAGAAGACGCAGTATTTCAGTTAGCTTAAGAAGAAAACAAGCAGTTTAGCCTAAATAAAAGGACCACGTTCACAGTCAGTGTTAACTGACTGGGGCGGCTGAGGATCAGGTGGTAGAGCAGGTTGTCCTCCAATCGCAAGGTTGGCGGTTCGAGGTCAAAGTGTCCTTGGACAAGATACTGAACACGAAGTTGCTCCCAATGGCAGGCAGCACCTTGCGTGGCAGCTCTGTCGCCATTGGTGTATGAATGTGTGTGTGAATGGGTGAATGAGAAACACACTGTAAAGCGCTTTGGATGAAAGCGCTTTATAAGTGACCATTTACCAACGTGCCTGAGCTCGCCGGATGACGTCATTTCGTGTGGTTGCCGCTCCAAGTCACTTCCAATACTCTCAGAGGACACAATACAAACCCTGGTTCTAAATTTAATCTGCAGAGAGAAGAGCTCTTCAGTGACTCACCTCTCTCCCTGATGCCTTCTCCATGGCTTTCACCATCTGGAGCACAGAGTAGCCTCTTCCTGTTCCAAGGTTGTAAACCTACAGACACAAAAACACGATAACGCACAAATTCCAGAGCTGCAATAAACACCTCACGTTAACGCACATGGTCTGAAAGTGTGCTAGAAACTGTTTCGGGGGTTGTTTCTTTAAATGTACCTTGCAACCGCAGTCTTCCTTCAGCTTCTTCAGAGCTGATATGTGTCCCTTTGCCAGATCTACAACGTGGATATAATCTCGCACGCCTGGAGGGAGAGAGAGAGAAAACCTTGTTTGCATGATTCTGAAAATGTACCTTTTACTCAGAGGGATCTTTTGAAGCTATTTCAAACCACAATGAAATCTGTGCACTGCCGTTTAAAAGTCTTTTTCATTACCTGTGCCATCAGGTGTGTCGTAGTCATTTCCAAACACACTGAGACACTTTCTTCTCCCGATGGCAACCTATGAGGAGCACAAATGTCAAATCATCAGATAGATCCGACTAGATGACACAGCTCAATATGCATTCCTAGAGTCCCTGTGATGTGGCCGTGTATTTGGCAGAGACTTTGTGTACCTGAGCAACATATGGCAGCAGGTTGTTAGGGATACCCTGAGGGTCCTCTCCAATCAGACCAGAGGAATGAGCTCCAATTGGATTGAAATAACGCAGCAGCACAGCATTCCAGTCCTGCTCACAGAGAGGCAATAATGACACACCTTGCATAGTGTAGGCACGTGCAAATCTGAATATGTTCTAGCCTTCTGGAACCAGCACCTTCTCAGCTTTACAGTGATCCTTGATCATCTCCTCGATGAAGAACTTGGTCTGGCCGTAGGGGTTGGTGCAGCCCCCAACCGGGTGCTGCTCATCGATGGGGAGACGCTGGGGGTCTCCGTACACCGTGGCCGAGCTGCTGAAGACCACATTGTGCACCTTGTGAGCCTGCATCACCTGCGACATATGCAGATGCACGCAAACGCGACATACACATCCAAGTCAGCGGCCGGGCAAGACAGCACAAACACACACATATATGCAACTTAAGAGGAAGCATCGAGGCGGATTTTGTCAGGCGGGGTGAGCTGCACTCATTAAAACTCATGAAGGTTGCAGTGTTAGAATTTGCCAACTCAGTTTCAAATGAGCACTCAGCGCTGTGCACTCAGCAAACAAGGGTGACGATCAGTGCATATAGGTTCAGAGCGAGCGCTGAAATGAAGAGTGAAGTACAGATATAATGGAGGACAGACAGTGTCAGATCAGATGACAAGCTGAAACCGACCTCGAGCAGGTTCATGGAGGCGGTGAGGTTGACTCTGTAGTAACGTAGCGGCTGCTGCACCGACTCCCCGACGGCTTTCAGGCCAGCAAAGTGCATCACGGCGCTGAAAGAATGCTGTAACACACATATACGGTTACACATGTGGGACAGACATGAGCACCACAGAAGGAGTTCATATAACCTGTATGGAAATATTATAAACGACTATATCATCTACCTATTTAAACTTTAAGGAGGCCAGCAGGGGTAGCACATTCTAGAAAACCTAAACAATAAGGAATTATGTTCTGGTGCCATCATCGGATGTATTAAATAGCATTAAGTTTAGAGCTGATTTGTGAGTTTAAAAAAAGAAAAGCACATTCAAGTTTACATGAATGGAAATTGGATTCAATTACATATAGTCAAATCAGTATTTGAGCTGCAAGTAACAAATACTTCAACCAAATATTTCCTTGATCTGTCAGAGAGCAGTGAAAACACCTCTTAACATTTCTTATAATTCTTTGTTTTATCTGATTAATGCAAACCCCAAAGATATTTAGTCTACATGTGAAAATCTTTACCTGTGAAAACTGCAAATATCAGGCCAATTTGTTCGACCAAAATTGTTTCAGTTCTGTTAAAATAAACTGTCGTAACTTTCTGACCTTTTTGAAGAGTTTGTCCAAGCCAGCTTTGTCCAGGAGGTCAAGTTCATGGAACTCGATGCTGGTGTCCAGAAGCGTCTCTATCCTACGTATGCTCTCCGCTACATCCCCTTCTCCTCCATTTAAAACAGGATGCAACACACACACACACACACACGCACACACACACACGCACACACACACACGCACAATAACACCATATGTAAACATCACTGCACTAAACAAACACATCTGAAAATTGCACTTATGAAAGTGATGACCAAAGCTACTCACTAACTTGTGTTTCAGTAGTGGAACTTACCTCGTACAGCGTTGCTGAAGTTATCTACTACGACTGGCTTGTATCCTGCTTCAATGAGCTCCAGCACACAGTGACTCCCGACGTAGCCCGCTCCACCTGTGACCAGCACCTTCTCCGCCATTCTTTAGGCCTGTAAGGCACAACATACATAGAAGACATGAAATCAGCCACCCACATTCAGAGATTTTGGGTCCTCTCAGTAGTTGGGACACATGCACGTGTCTTCTCATTTGTTGAGTAACGTTACAGCGTTTCTCAACAATCCCTCAAACAGGGGCGGGTCTGTTTTTCAGCACTGGGTCTTTATTTTCACTCCCTAAATATAAATATGAATCATAAGCTCATACAACCGTTTGATATTTTGTGGCAAACATAATTATATCCCCCACACATAGAAACACACACAGTGTTGTAATCCCAGTCAGCGGTAGAGCTGACTGGGTTTTTCCAATAACTTTATGGAGCACGAAATCCTGACATCGAGCTGATATTCTTTACTTATATATTAAAGTTATATTAAAAAGGAGTGGGGTCATTGTTAGTGAACTTTCCAGCACAACTATTTACAAACTAGCTAGCATCTAAACTGTGAAGGCATCTTTTACTCCGCACCACAGTACGCTCTGCTACATGTGCTGCAGGCAATGCTGAGAGTAAACAATGGAGTTAGAGCGCGCTCTGTTGGACAAAATATGCAATGAAACCATTTCTCAATTAAGTGAATCATGTAAGATGTATCTGGGATAGGCCAACATCAGCCAATATATCAGTCTGTCTCTAGTCAGCAGTGCACCGTAGGCAGGTTGGTAACCACGAAGGAGAAGAACAAGTCAGTTTTGAGCCACGGTGTAACGGTTTTGAGTATGCGTAAATAGAATAATTTCCTAAAAAATCCCCACAAATCACAGATATGTGTGACATGTTTCGGATGCGAAGGATATTCTCAACACGAGGAGCTATTAAAGTCCACTGACAGCAAAATGTGACCGGAGTTACATCTCCAAACAAAAGACACAAAAGAGAACAAAAGAGTTAATCCTTCCTCTGTGTGTGTCGACTCAGCAGTGATAACATTACATAAGAAAGATAATCCACAGAACAATAAAGACTTGACATTGATACCGAATAGCTATTCCACTATATTCTGAATTGTCTCCTGGTTCCTGAAGACGTCCACCTTAAACTGATGCAGAAAAGACACAACTTGGTACATAAAATCTGACTAGAAAATGAGCTGTGTGACGCCCCCACCTTAATGTGTTCCCTCTGGATGTAACCTTCATTCAAAAACCTGTTATGTCTAATGTGAGCAAAAGCGAAAACCCACGCCCCTGTGTCCAAAGGCAGGGCATCATGACAGATTCCTCTGGTCCGTTTCACAGGTATGTGACTATCTCACCTGTTACCCACGTCAGCAGGCTCCAGCCTAAACCTGCCCAGCCCCTGACTAAACACAGTGACGGCAGCAAAGAACATCAGTCACTGCAACTTTTCATTGTCCTAAACTATTTTTAGCTTTTGAGAGGACCCATCTGTCTTTAGTGTTGTTTTACACACTCTACAGCCCGACTTGGACATTGAAACCTGCCAATCACAGTCCACCTATTGTCATGTCAGGACTGGTTCTGGTTCTAGTAGTGATGCTGCTTCACTGTATGTTCTGTGAAAACACACATTCATATCAATCAGACTACATCCTCTTAGTTTATTCCAGCAGCTCTCTGTGATTCAACACTTCAATCAAACAGCTCAGTCTTAACACCAGGATGTTCAGTGTAATCAAATTCATAAACAAAGTGTGTTTCATTCAAAACAACCCCTCGCTGTACATCCGGTTTTACATCATATCCCAGATACACAGTGACCCCTGGTACTTTATCAGCTCCTCTCCAGACTAAATAACAATGAAATCCCACTTAAGGAGCAATGGTACAACTTGTCAGACAAACTGGTAAAATGACACCACATCTACAGTGTATCTGAGGCAGTGTGTGAAATACTCACTGAGCGTCCCTTCTGGAGAGCAAAGCGTCGCTCCGGGCGGTGGTTTTTGGGTAAATGCTGAGAGAAGAAGCAGGTGGAGGCAGTGAAGGGAAAGAATGAGGGTTTTTCTGTCAGTTCAGTCTCTGAACTCTTCCCTTCTTTCCTTTAGATGTCTTTCCTTCCTGGTAAACGTGGAAGCGAGTGAAGAAAACGATGAACGCACAGCTTTCTGTACGTGTTCCTTCAAAATAAAAGCATACTTATGATTGAATTTTTGTTTTCATTTTTATGTTTTGTAATGAGGATTTAAAAAAAAAAAAAAAATCATTTTAAATGTAAGTTTATTTCACCCTCTAGTTGTTCTGTCTAATTATTCAGTCATCTGTGAAGCACTACTAACTACACTAACCTGTAGCTATGAAAGGTGTTAGGCTTAGACAAACTTTATTGATCCACAAGGAAAATTGCCTTTTATCACAGTAGCACAAAATAAATAATTATATAAGAATATACAAAAAAATGAAATAAAAGTTAAAAAAAAAAAAAAAGCAAGCAGGAAATAAAACAAAATAAAATGAAATAAAAATAAATAAATAAAGTTTTAATTAATTTAGCTTCAATTCGCAACACTGAATTCAATTTAGTTCCAGTTGGACTAAATCAGCTGCCCAGTCTATCGTACAAAACCACGTAGGATAACATAGGCTTGTGCTAATTGTGTGGGTGATTCGGACGTTTTGTGTTTTATTTTGAAGCCTCAGACGGAAACACGGTGCTGATTGCAGCTACCTTGACGCTCCTCCAATCACACCGCCGTGCGACGTCAGCGCCTCACATGCCGGTGACGTCGCCAGCACTATGCTAAAGCCACGCCCCCCCTCCATCCAAACAGTAGAGTGGTTGTGCTGAGCGTCCACCAGGCTGAAACGGATACCTGGCGGCGCAGCAAGAAGTGCCACGTTGACCCAGAACACACCCTGGAGCCTTGTGCACCGGTGTTAGAAAGAAAACACAGTCGGGTTTCATGGATGTTGTACTTTGCTAAAAAAAAGATAAGATCAGATTCTGTAAGACACTTTATTGTCTGGGGCAGTGGTGCAACATTTATCAGCTCTGTGCAAAAACAGAACAGAAAGTTGTGCAGAACAAGCCACACATGTAGAACCATCTAAAACATAACATACATCACACACTACTAGTAGAAACCTGGGGCACTAATAGCAGCGTTGTATTGCCCTCATGTAAACATAAGTATAATGCCAGAAGAAATACACAACAAAAAATGTGCACATCAAGATTGAGCAGAGTGATTGAAATGGGAATAACGGACAGTTTATTTCTCTTGTATTTGCAGTCTCTGTAGCGTCTACCTGAAGGTCTGAAAATAAAAAGTGTGAGGGCTCCTTCAGGATCCTAGATCATAGCCTGTGTCCTTGGATCGGTTTTATTTCCTCCCTGTCACTTTTATTGCGACCAAGCTGTTTATTTTAGACTTTGACTGGACAGTGAGGCCACTGTATCTGATAAATAAAGGTCGCATAAATAAAGCTGATTCTGCTAAGAAAAGATGTATTAGTGTACTCTAAATCAGTGTACCGAGATTAGCTGTCTGATGTGTTGTCTTACCGAAAGCATTTCTATTCACACAATCACACATACGGTATAAAAACAGGCGACAAGTTAAAGGAAAATCCTGACTGCTTGACCCCACAGTGAGGGGATCTGGTGGCTCTGTTGTGTTGTGGGGGACATGATCGCCTGATGGGAGTGGGCTCTTCCAGAATGACACTACTCCCATCTACAGTGCACAAAGGGTCACTGAATGAAAAGAAATTGGCCTTTGCAGTCACCAGATCTCAACCCAGTTGAACATCTGTGGGAGATTTTAAAATGTTGTAAGCGACAGTACTTTCCATCACCATCATCAAAACGCCAAATGTGGGAATATCTTTTGGTAAAATAGTGTTGGTCTATCCAGTGAAGTTCCAAACACTTGGAGAAATAATGTAGAGAAGCATTGAAGTGTCACATTGAGTTTTCCTTTAATTTGCCTCTTGTCTGTATGAAGCAAACAACTGAGACTTGGTTGGATATGAAGTATGATGCTTCTTTTATCCATCCATCCATCCATCCATCCATCCATCCATCCATCCATCCATCCATTATCTGTACACCGTTTAATCCTCATTAGGGTTGCGAGGGGGCTGAAGCCTTGCTTCTTTTATGTTATATAATTTTACAAGTAGTTTAAAAACCGACCCTCCACCTCTGATCTTAAACCCAAATAAGGAAGTGTTCACTGTCATTATTGATCAATAAATAAACTTACTTAAGCCCTACACAACCCACCTTTGATGTGCACAGACAAAAAGTGTGTTCAAAGTTATCTGAAACTTAAAAAAAGAATAGTACAATATCGACTGGATGCAAGCATCTATTTAAGATTAAAACAAAGTGTATGCAACATGTTTAAATTAATGGAAAATTACATAACGAAGAAAACAAGCAAAAGCAAAGCTGCTGAATTTATATACCTCAGAGTTTCATTACAATGGATTTCCTATGCAACTATACTCCAGAAAGGTATAATAGGAAGAATAATCTAATAGGAAAAATCTTTTAGCATTATTGGCTTAATTAATAAATGGTGTGGAGGTAGTAAGGTACAGTAGGAGTATTTCAAGACTGCTCAAACATAGCTGGACCAAAACCACACACCTCACAGTTTAGTTTCCTTTCTCGCTCTTAGAGACAATAACATCACACCTAAAATCCCCATTTCATTCAAGTTTTTCTTTAAATAATCCACTTGCTTTCCCACAGACTTCATTTTTAAATTTCCAGGCAAATGCTCAGCCTCCACTCACAGAATCCTACAGATCGAGTTGGATTCTTTGATATCCTGTGCCATTTCTGAAGCCCGTTCGCCAGTCCTGCCCAGCCCCAGAGAAGGCTGGCACACGAAGAAAGGTCGCAGAACTGGGAGTGAAGAAAGATGAAATGAAACAGATACCTGAGAGATGAAGTTTGCTCAGTTCATTCACTGCAAATGCTGTCTCTTTGTTGGAAAGGACTTGGAGCTTATGAAGAAAATCTCAAGAGGGGGGAAAACAACATGGCAATATAATCCAGCAGGGGTACACGGTAATAATAACAAAACCCAGTGCAGCCATTCAGAAGAGGACAGAGGAGAGGAGACACAAGGAAACATTTAAAACTCAGAGGAGGAACAACATGTGACTATTTGACTGTGAGAGAACAGGAAAAAAAACTCCATCTTTCTTTTGAATGTGGCTCAATCTGTAACCATCTCACGGCTTCATTTCGTGGCCTCCGTTTGCACTTGAGGATTCTGACTTTGTGCTGTGATGTGGGTCGGCGGCATGGCTCGGCTGTGCATGTGTGTGAGTCTGTGCGTGAGTGTTTGGGTGCGCGGCTCCCTCGGGCTGCCTCCCCAGCACCGTGGGTGGCTGCGGCTGTGGGAGGAGGGTGAGGGCTGCAGGGACTGCGATGAGCACATCTGCCCCTCGGTGCCGGACAACTGCCCCGCAGGCCGGGTGCAGGACAGCTGCGGATGCTGCGACCAGTGTGCGAACGTGGAGGGGCAGCAGTGTGACCCAGATGGGGCTCAGAAGTTCTACGGACAATGTGGGGAGGGTCTGGCGTGCCGGAGGAAAGCGCCAAAGAAGGGACGCAGTGCTGACCCAGAGCCCACATGTGTGTGCCAGGAGAAGGGTCCAGTGTGTGGCTCTGATGGGAGGACCTACACAAATGTTTGCCAGCTGAGAGAGGCTGCCAGCCGCGGTAACACAACCCTAACACACACCGGGAGAGGACCCTGCTACTCTGGTTACTGCACTCTTTTCCTACATATTTTATCAGTGCTTGTCTGCTATTGTCTTGATATAGAACAACTTTGGGGATCTGTCTGTGCAAGATTCATGGTCATTGGTAATCCTAAGAACTTTAGGGGTCCTAGCATTAAACCTTGGGGTGCCCCTTTCTGTTTATCGCAGCTCCTCGAGTCCTCAGAAGTCCAAAAAATCTGTCCAACTACACAGGAAATGACATCATCTTTGGCTGCGAGGTGTCGGCGTATCCTCTTCCAGTCCTGAACTGGAGGAAGACAGGCAGCGACCACTACCTGCCGGGAGATGATCCACACATCTCTGTCCAGGTTTGAGCAAAGCGTCAGTTATTCTATGTTACTGAAAGTTTCATGAAGAACTCATGTTAGATTTAACCAGTGGTTCTCAAAGTGAGGGGTGGGGCCCTCTGGGGGAACACAGAGTCACTGCAGGGGGGAGTGTGGATGACCAGAGGAACATATGGAGTGGGACTAAGTTGAGTGAATATGATTTGTCAAGGAGAAATAAACACTGGGCTTTATTTAGCTAGAATTCAGCTTGGATCTATTCTTAGTGAACCACTGGATTAAACTGTGTCCTGTTGGGTGTGCAACTTAAACTTCAGACAGCCTTCCTGCTTGATGGGTGGAGATATTCTTGTACAGTATATTTATCATGAGGAATGCTATCACCTGTAAAAACATGTCTTCTATAATTTAGTCAATGAAAATAATACACTGTTATTGGAGCTTGACTCATACTATGA